GGAGCGCTGTGCTGCCGGGGTAAGGCGGCTTCGCTCCGGCACCGGGAGAGGAGCCTGGCTTAAGAAATCTGTGCTCGGGCTGCAGCCGCGGTCCTTGCTCTTAACTGTGGCTCTGAAGTCATGCCCTGCTGTCAGGTCATAGATGTGTAAGAGCGGTAGCATTTAAGATTTTTGCAGAGCCGTTAAGTTTTTTGATGTCTCTAAATCTAGATGGTCACCAGGACAGAGGGTCAAATTGATGACTCTCTAATTGGTGGCAATGCCTCTGCTGAAGGTCCTGAGGGAGATGGAACAGAAGCCACGGTCATAACTGGTGTTGATATAGTAATAAACCACCACCTTCAGGAAACCAGCTTTACAAAAGAATCCTACAAGAAGTACATCAAGGACTACATGAAAGCGTAAGTATTAGTAGGCTTTTTCTTCAAATGAGAGTGCAAAATTGTTGGGTTGTTGAAGTTTTAAAGACAGTGTTGAATCTGGTTCGTAGTAGGTGTTAGTTCTGATACAGGTGTCAAACTGGCTGTGAACTTCAGTGATGTCTTAATACTTGGCAAAACTGGGACTTTAAAGAATTGATACTGGAATATCTTTAAGTTTATATTGGCTGAGGCAGAGGACCTGATCATGTGTTTTGGATACGATTTATAACCTTGCTGTTTTCTTTTTGATCCTTCGATACCACACCTTTAATGGGGAAAGGGGTGGGGTGGTGAAGAAAGTTTCAGGACGCTTTTTGAACTTGACACTTTAAATGTCCAAATATATTGTGTGTGAATGGAACTTTTTGCTAATTCAAGGTATAATTTATGTTGCTCAGTGTTTAGTGGGTTAGCATTAAAGGTGAAATTGCTTTCTCTGTGATAGTACTCTTGATGTTGGGGAAGTGGCTTGCTAATTTTTGTCTACCACTAGCCTAGAAGTAAAATGTGCTTGCTATGAGTGGCAGGCACTGTTCTGCTAATTAACTAGCAAAATTAAGTTAAAATCTGGGGGCTTTGAAAGGGAGAAGGGGGCAAAAGCAGAAAACCCCGAACAGTTTGACTGCCAGTAACTTTGTGCTATGATGTGATGCTGCACGGTGAAGTTACTAGGCTAGAATGTGCTTTCAGAGCTTTTTTCCCACCCTTCCAGAATCAAAGCCAGACTTGAGGAACACAAGCCAGAGAGAGTAAAGCCTTTTATGACAGGGGCTGCAGAACAAATCAAACACATCCTCGCTAACTTCAAAAACTACCAGGTAAGGAAACTTAATGTTGTCTTAGGGCAGTATTGCATGTACAAGCTGCAATTGGTTCCTCTGCTGAACTAGCTTGTGGAGAGTTTTGAGGGCTCCTGTTGTGAGGACATCTACCTTTCTGTGGGAGTACTAGGGGCTCTGAGAGTCAGGGAGGAGAAAGTGAAAGACTCTTTGGTGTTTGGGGATCTCATTTCAGTTTGCAACACTTGTGAACTGCGTTTGTAGTTATCGCCATTTAGGAACTGTGGACTTAAGAGACTTGAAAAATAGATCTCTTTGGCCCCTGCTGTGTCCTACTCTGCTATTCATAGCAGTGTCGTAAAGTTGTCTGGTACTAAAATGGACAAGCTGCAGAAAGCAAAATCCCTGCAGCTGGTCAGGGAGACCTTTAAACTGAACTAGTAGATGTTACGGCTTTCTTGTGTAACAGGCACTTTCCCTTGGTAGTGGCTCATTAAATGTCTCAGTAATGCATTTCTCTGAAGTTCTTTGTAGGAGAGAACATGAATCCAGATGGTATGGTGGCTCTCCTGGATTTCCGTGAGGATGGTGTGACCCCATATATGATTTTCTTTAAGGACGGCTTAGAAATTGAGAAATGTGTAAGTATGGACCTGAATTGGATGAATGTGCCTAACAACATGGTTGGCTTTTTCAGTGCATTGCTGTGTCCCTGTTAAAAGTGGAGCAGTAACTGCCAGTTCAAAAATGTAAAGTTCATGGCCTAATTGCCGCTTCGTACTATACAAAGTGGCTGAAACTTCCCTTGTAGACTATTGAGTCATACTCAAAGGGGATGTCACCACAGTGATTCATCATGATGTAATAGCTAAGAAATGCAGCAGGGATTGCCTTGGTGAGATGTGTGTAATTGGTTATGGTTTTAAACTATTAGATTAAAGACAGTGTCCTCTGAAATGGAGCACTCTACTTTGGGTCACTCTGGTGGGGGTTAATTCTGAACTACCTTACATGATCATGTTTCATCTTTCACTTAATCTGATGCCCTTATTTTGTTATGCAAGAACCATCTGTTTAAATATTGCCCTAAATTTGGGAACATGGTAATGCTTGACTGAGTGCTTAACCTTATTCTATCTGGAATCTCCAGCTGCCTGAGCTCAGGCAGCTCCTGTGTGGCCTGCTTTCTCTTGAGTTACTCCGGGTTGGAATGTGGTTGCAAGGAAACAGTATTTGGATCCCAACACTTGCTGTTTTTTGCTTATTCTGAGAGCAGTGGAATTCACTGCAGACGAGCAGTGTGGGATCACCAATTGCTTTGCCCAGTTATTGCAGACTTATGAAGCCTGTTTATAGCCAGCTAAATTTATCTGTAAAGCCTCTTACAGACTTTCTGGTATGCAAGTCATGTAGAGATGAACCAACTTCTAGCGTGGAGCAGTAGCCCAACTAGAGGAACACTTCTGCTGGCCCAGACACACCACCTTTGCAACGTGACTGAAGGGTGATGTCTGTCTGGGACCAGGCAGCGGGTACCTGGAAGGTACCTCCTCCGAGCGGAAGCTTGTGTGCATCTCCCCTGCTTGGGCAGGCCTTGTGGATGTTAATTCGGATAACCACATCTGCCTCAAGACGGGGTAAAAGGATAGTAACAAGGTGTTCCAGTGGGCAAAAAAAACCTGTTCCAGCTTCTTGGTGCAGCTCTTGTAAGAAGATGGCACATGCATTGTAAGCTTTAGTACTTGTTTAGGACATGCTCTTATTTGAGAGGAAAGGTGGAACTTGTGTGTCAGGCAGAGAGGGTGTGAATGAGTATCTTGTCTGGCCTGCTCAGCAGCTGATGCCAGTTGCTCTGTGTGATGGCAGAAAAGGCTCAGCATCCTCTGATAGACCATGAGCACTTGTCCTGTTGCTCTTTGGTTTGCAATAAGATGCAAAAATAACTTCCTTGCGCTTTCTGCCTGCCTGGCTGTGGCAGCTCAGATTGAATTAGGGAATACACAAATAAGTTACAGAAACTTAACCCTGACTGTCATGACCTCGAACTGACACTTGCTGCTCTTGTTTCAGTAACAAATCAAGCAGTATGGTTTTGGATCACTCGTCTTCATAGCTGGCTGCTGTTTCTTCTTCATCGGCACAACACCAGGAATTGGCAATGTCTAACAACTGGACTGATGTCATCTTGAGCTTTATTCACTTATTTTGACCCTGATTTGGAGTGGAGGCATTGTTTTAAAAAAAGAAAAAAACAAACATCTGTCATGTAGGTTGTCTAAAATAAAACTCATTTAAACCCATCCCAGGTGATGCCTTTTGGTCTAATGTATTTCTTAGGGTGACTTGCAGGAGAGGTTGCAGCAAAATGTTTGTCCAAGGATTTGGTACTGTCAGTAGTATAGGCTGCTCCTAGCACCCTACAACTTGACTGTCTTCAGGCAGACCTCATGTAGTTTCTACCTGTGGCATTGGAGTGCAAAAGCAGGCTGAGGGGAATTAAGGCAAAGCTCAAGAAATGTCATCGTATTGGAACGGACCTTCATCTTCTACAATTGCACAGAGACTTCTATGTCTGGAAGATACCAGAATTACTTAAAAAAAACCAAAACAAACCAGAATGGAATATGCACTACTTGGTCTGAGTGCTGGCTGAGCTGCTTTGTCAGACAAGGATGCTTGAGCCTGTCCTCTGCTGTAGTTTGACTTCAGGATGAAGGTAGGAGGATGGATGGAGCGCTGGTCTAACACCAGCACTCCCTCTAAGCCCAGGTAGTGGGAATGTTGTGGGGAGGGAGTGAAGCTACAAGGCTTCCAACATGGCCTGGCTGTGCAGGAGCAGATGAGCTAGAACTTGGTCAAGTTACAGGATTTTTTTCTGTACTTGCCTGCCTGGGGAGAGAAATGTTGGCATGGCCTAGCCCTGTCCTAGGCTTACCACAAAGCAGGCGTGTGTCCGGGCTTGAGACTTACCTGAGCATGTACAACTGTTCCTGCTGTGTTCCTCTTTAGGAAATGCATCCGTTTGACAGACCTGGAGCAAACAGCTGTTGCCTCCCTGGTTCTTGCTGAGATGCAACAGGAATGGGTTCCTTGCGCTTTCTGCCTGCCTGATCTTGTGGCAGTCTGGATTGAACAAAGGAATACAGACGCCTTCACAGAGCCTCCGCCGGGGCGAGGGGCTTTGTGTTGCTGCCGACAGCGCGATCGTGGGTGCCTGGGCAGGGATGTCTCCTTGGACTGAAGTCATTAACTGGTCAAGGTTAAAGTGCCTGACAGGGGTGGGCGTGACCCACTTGCCACTGATCTGTGAAGCCTCAGGCCTCTGCTGCAGCAGGGTTTTGGCATCTTGGCTGTTTTCTGTCAGATGTTGGCCCCTGGTGCCGGAGGGCTGAGGCGGAGGTAGGTTTCTGCAGGGGCGTGATGGATGCGGCTGTGGGGTGGGAGGAGTGAGATACTCAGGCATGCTCCACTCCCACCACCAGAGAGTTATCTCGGAGGTTCCTGTCTTGTTTAAATGCACCCTATTTTAGTTCTGTGGGAACCTCATTTGCATATCTGGGGGGTTTTTTTAGCTTTCCCAAGGAAGGGTCTCAGGCCAGCTGTGCTTCTGGCTGAGGTTCAATTTTGGCATAATCTGAGTGATATAAATTAATGTTCCTCTGCCTTCACCCAGTGGAGCTGAATTGCAGGGAGGCAGGTTCAAAGCCTTAAATTAAATCCCTGTGAGGCAGCTCTTGCTTTCCTTGCAGAGGATTTGTTTCATGGGGCCAGGTGAGGGTGCTATCTTACAACAGGAAGGGTATCTTTGCTAAAAACCTGGGAGCCTCGAAGGGGAGAGTAGAGTAAGCATTTGCTTAGTTTGAGGCTTTTGCTTCTCAGTGGAGTAAGTTCAGGGCAGTGCTCAAGTGGCCACACAGCCCCTGCTCAGGCTGTGCAGCCCCAAATACCCCTGGCTCCCAAGTCCAGTGAGTCTAAGTGTTTAAAACTGAGCGGAGCTGGGATGTGGGAGTGACAATGGCTGTTCCCCCCTGCCTGGCTACTTATGCTGAGGCTGGGAACCTTGGAGCAAGCTGCTGTGTGGCAGCTCTGTGCAAATGATGAGGTGCTGCTTTGAAAAGCAGGGGCTTAAAAGCATGGTTGAGCACAGCCTTGCTGTCGGGTTGAATGGCTTGTGGCAAACTGTGCTATCCTGTCTGTCCTCCAGGCTAATTGGGATATTTAATTGGTGTGTGCAAACATGCCTAACGTGGGTTACATGCTTGTATCAGTCTTGTATGTGTTATGGGGTGTCCCTTCAGCCTGCGGTAGGAAAGCATCAGCTCAAAGGCTCTTGAGATGCAGGTTTTTGTTCTGTTTGTCTCTCGTGAGCTGCAAGGGAAGTGGTTTTGCTGCTGGCTGCACTGTGGTTCCCAAAATGCATTGCTGCCTTCAGTTTCTCAAGGAAAAGGGCAAGTCTTGCTGCTCTGCTGTGTCAAGCCTGCCCAGTACTGGGGAGGAGAGGTTAAACCATGCTTGGTGGCAGGGAGAGACCATGGCAGTGACAAGCAGCGGTCTCTGCTGTGCTGCTGTGGTAGCTGCTTGCAGTGGAGGCAGGGCAAGGGAAAGTCAGGATCCAGCTCCTTGTGCTGGGAGTTGCTACGTGCTGCAAAGTGGGAGGCCTGTGGCTGGTAAATGCACGTGTCAACAGTCTGTGATGCCACTCCGAGTTGGAAATGAAGTCAGTGTATTTCCTTGTAACCCAATTCCTCATCTTCCAGCCCCTCTTCATTTCAAGCTGCTATTTTCTGGGGCTGAAAAGCTGAAGTGATTTCAGAAGGCAAGGCTTTGTACTGCTCCAACTGCTGTAGCAGCTTTGGAGTTACTAAACTGGTAAAAATCACCCATCCTAACAAATTACCCTGGTGCTGCTTAAACACAGCCTGAACTGCAGGACAGCTTTAAAACCTATCCCCATCTTGTTTGAAAACCCGTGCTTATCAGGCTTGTATCTTGCATTCCTGGGAAGATATTTTCCATGGCTGGAAGGGCTGTGGAGTTGGCAAGGATCCAAACAGCTCTTCCTCTGAGCCTCATGGAGCAGGATAAGGTAGAAACCTTTCCTCTGCTGGCTAGGGTCTCAGCCCTGTGTGAGCCCAGGGGGCTGCTCCTGCACCCACCACAAGACAGCTGCTGGCAGGGGAAGGTTGGCTGATTGCTTATGGCGGGGGGGAGGAAATCCCTCCCTTTCTTAGTTTTGTACTTTTGTGGTTGAGAGAATGAAGTCTTGGGCCTGGGGGAAGCGGCTACTGTGCTGGGCATGTGTCCCATGGTCCCCTTAGCCTTCCCCCCTCCCACCCCACTGCTCCCCCTGCTCTTTGTCTCACAGTTTTGCTGCCCCAGCAGGGTCTTACCCTGTCTACAAATCCACTCTTTTGTTTTGCCCTCTCAAAGCATCCCTGCAGCATGTCCAGCCCACAGCCTGTATGCAGAGGTTCAGCCAAGCACTGGCAAAAAAACCCACCCCACCTCCATGGGCCAGTGACTGTGCTGTTAACACCCCAGTGCTGCTGCAGCAGCTTGTTGCTCCTTGGCTGCCTGCTTTGAGGAGGAAGAGTGCAGGCTTGGAGATGTTCCTGCAGTAGAGGGAACATCTGGTGAGCTGGGAGAGGTGCTGGTGGGGCCACAGGGAGCTGGATATTCCCCTGACACACACACCCCTGCCCCTAGGTACCCAATGGAGCCAGCCTGGCTCCATCCCTTGGCTTTGTCCACTCAGCAGGGGCTGGGTGCTGGAGCTGGGGTGGGTGATGGTCCTGGAGCCTTGTGTGGCCCTCAGCTGTGGCACAAGGAGGGAGAACCTGCAAAGGGAAAATTTTTAATGAATGGATGTGGGGAACAGAGTTGGGTTGGGTTTGGTTGGTTCTCTTTTCACATGGTTTAGCTCAAGGCCAGGAGGGGACTTTCTGTAAGCTTAGGACATGGTTGTTTTTAGACAAGTAAAATTACATTATTTTTTTAAAAGATGTAGGAAAAAATAAACCTGCAACTTGCCTCCTTCCCTTAGCAAGCCTCTGACTGAGCTGGCTCAAGCCAGCCTGCTGCAGTCCCAGCAGTTTTCAGCAACAGCTGTCTAGGGAGGATGCTTTTATTAAACAGCAATGGTATCTGCATCAAGATACCTCTGCTTTCTCACATGCTGCTGCTGGCTTGGACCAGGTAAGGGTCTGCTCCCACAGACCTCCAGCTGTGCTTCAGCTCTGCAGCCACTTCCCCAGGATACAGCTGCTGTTGTGAACGGGGATGTTTTGCCCTGCACCAGCCAGCAAGTAAATCTCCATGTTGCTGCTAGCCCACAGCAGGAGAGCAGCAGTTAAACCCCGTGTTCATTTAGCTCTGAGATCATTGTCTTGGTAGGAGGAAAAATAACCTCACCAAGCCTGAAAGTCTTTGCCATAAACAGCCCAAAGTGTGTTGCCAGGAGCGCAACTGTGCTGGTTTATGGTCCCCGTGGCTTGGTTGGCTTTTGGTTGAAGCCACAGCTGGAAGGTGTTGTGCGAAGATCACAGCCAAGTGGCTGTGGCCAGGGCTGGAGGCCTGGGGGAGCTCCTCTTGGTGCCAGCAAATGCTGGTAGCCTTGGAAGTGTGTTATGCAGGAGCATGGCAGGATGTCGTTGAGGCTGTGTGTAGCTGCTAGGTGTGTGGAGCAATTAGAGCTGCATTTATCACCTTCTGCTTCTGGCAGAAAGGAGCCCAAACACCCTCAAACTGATGCTAGGAGGCCTTTTTAGATTATTTTGGTGTGTGATACCAATGTTGACAATGAGGCAGTGGCTGAGCACAGTGAGAAAAATGATTCTCCAGAGCCCTCTTGTTATCCTGGGAGCCACCAGCTTGGATTCACCTCCTGTCTGTGACCAGCAGTGGTGGGAGGAGGCACTGCTGGCATTTTGGAGAGCAGCCCCTTTCATCCCATTCTCAGCAAGGTGCAGGCACGCTGACAGCCTTGACAAAGCAATGCAGCTGTTTGATTTTTATAGGGAAGGTCCAAAAAATTTGATGTCTAGAGAGGATTTAAGAATTGGCTTCCCAAAGTCTTTGTAATAGAGTAGTTGAGAACAGGCCACTTAAAGCTGGCTGCTCCTCCTGCTCCCCATGGATGCTCAGCTAGCAAAACCCCACTGTTGCTACTGGAATAGCCTGGTTCAAGGGCTGAGGTCCATCTCCTCTACCTACAGCTGTGTCTGCACCTGAGCTGGGCACCCTCAGCTCCTCCAGATGAGGCAGGGAGGGATGATTTCTCTGCCTGCTGCAGCTGAGTGGGTGCTGAGGGCTGCAGCCATCAAAGTACCAGCTGTTGCTGATGCTTGGTCAAGCTGCCCATAAAAAGGCATTTAAGGGGTGGGTGTAGCCCTTCACCCATCAGCTTTGGCTGCCCTGGCCCAGGGGCCACCTCCTGCCAGCACAGGCTGTCCAGTTCACCTGTTGTGGTGGGGATGAGTGCTTTGACCCCCATAAACCTATCTGATTTTTAAGCTGAAGGGGCAAGATAGCAGCTGCCCACCAGTAGAAGGGTTTCATGTTCATGGCCACCTTACTTACTGTGGGCCAGGCAGCTTTGGGAAGGACATGCAGGAGGAAAATCCTGTGGCTGGGGATGCTTGGGCTGGTGGACCATACACGGATGCAGCCCTTGCTGCTTGCAGCCTCTCCATATGTTGCTGGAGTATAAATAGCCTCTTCCAGGGCTGGCCTTGGCTGGGTGGCGGAGGGAGGCTTCTCAGGAATCCATGCTGGCTTTTATGTGAGCGCCTCTGGAAGGAAGAAAAAAAAAAAAAAGAAAAAAACCAACCAAACAAACAACAAACCAACAACCTTAAATTAGAGGTGTGAAGCCCAGGGTGTGTGTGTGGGTCTTATTTCCCTTCCCCAATGCTATCAATCCTCCCACCACAGACTGGTGGGGGCAGCTGGATGGGTGCAAGCACAGACCCACATGGCTGAGGAAGGACTCTCTGTTTCCTTCCTTGCTTTTAATCAAGGCTTTGCCCTTGCCTGTTCCTCTGGTTCTCAGTTACCTGGCTTGCAGCTGCTGAAAGCCTTCCCTGCCTCCTGGAGGTGCTCAGGTCCCCATGGAAATCCCAATCTTAAGAATGAGCTCCAGAGGTAAAACTAGTTAATGGGGTGGAGGTGAAAAGAAACAGTCCTTCCCTTCATAGAACCATAGAATTGTCTAGGTTGGAAAAGACCTTTAAGATCATCAAGTCTAGTCAGTCCTTCCTTTCAAGATGGACAGCCAAATGCTGCAGCTTCCCCCTTCTCCCATTTATTTGCCTGTAACTGCAAACACACCAGCTGCAAAAGCCCAATCCCCTGTGTGATGGTGTCAGGAGCAGAAAGCCCCTCTCAGCTGGCTGCATTCCTCCAAGGGATGCATTTTGGCTGAGGTACTCCTGACCGGTACCAAGCAGCTCCTTGCGCTCAGATTTGCTGAGCTGGGAAGGAGAACAGGGTTGCTGTGAGTTCAGCTGCTGGTGCTCGGGTCTCGCTCATCGTGCCAGCCCTAGCTGTGGTTAGCTGTAGCGATGCTCAACGGCACCTGCCTTCATTGACCCCTCTGGCTTAATGGGTGCCCAGTGTTCCCCATCCAAAGATATTTACTAATTCCCTATTCCAAAAACACAATGAGCTCTGAAATTTTTGTGTTTGTTGAGAGCTGAAGGTGGAAGAGTTTGACCTGCTTGAGCCAGGCAAGAGATGCAAACCTTAAGGCCCCTGCTGGGTGCTGAGCTCTGCTGGAAGGGGCCTTTTTTGATCTTTTCTGCTGGACCTTTTGCCATCCTTGTGTGAATAATTAAACATGCCCAGAGAATGGCTGACCCCACAGCCTGATAGTCACACAGTCTTGGTTAGGAGAGCCAAGAAAGAGTCCTTCAGTCCTGCCATCGGTATGAGAGACAAGGCAGGTTGGACCCAGCCACAGCTCTTTGAAAACCTCGAGAAGCAGAGCTACCTTCCAGGTGAGCCTGGAGCAGCAGCCCAGCTCTGATACCGCATTAGCGAGAAAAATGATTTGGTAGGAGTCAATAAATGCAGTGACTAATGAAAAATGCCATCCTGGCGACAGGGACATTGCAAATGTGGGTGGTCATAGCTGACACACGCAGGCGGTACGTTCAGCTGGAGCTCACTCCAAGCAGCTGGTGAAGACAATATGTAGCTGACTCAAAGCATGGCCAACTTTTAGGGAGCATCCACTGGGATCAAAGCACCTAGCGACCACTGATCCCGCTATACGAGCTCTGTGTCAAAAGATGCGGTGCCAGCAGCAGAGGTCTTGTGGCTGTGTCATTTTTTTGCTGGTCTGTAGCTAATATTCACACTCGGTACCTTCTGCTCCTGTTCCTCATGCTGTCCTGCCTGTCCCACCAGCAGCCTCTGGGGGGGGCCACAGGCGAGGGGTCGGTTGCGCAGGACGCGTGCCAGAGGGCGCGCAGTCCCATGCTTGGACCAGCCCGACGTGACAACGTGCCATAAGATGGCTGGAGGCCACAGGGAGTTTATTTGAGGAAGGAGCTTGCAGCCTCCTGAGAGCTCTTTCGTGACCATCCCCCTACAGGGGTGCCTGCCCATAAGACCAAGAGTTCTCTTAAGTCCTCGAGAAGCAGGAACTAGAGGGGTGTGACTGGTGTGATCGAGAAGCGGGAACTGGACCATAAAATGCAAGGAGCTGCCTGCGTGCCTGCCAGCAGAGGACCACCACTGAAGGCAACATGGGATCCAAGGGTGGTGATGTCTCTCCCTCCGCTCCCCTGCCTCTTTTCTCCTTCCTTCCTTCTATCCCCCATAGATTGATGGTTTTTAAACCGAGCTTTCCCCGATGGCTGGCATTGCACGTCAAACAGTCACGAGCTGGTAAAAGATCGGCTGGTGTCGTTTCACCTTAGTTTGCCTCAAGGGGATTCAGGAGCCTCGTGGCCTGACTTGGGTTACCCTGGGTAGCCTGATGGCGGAGGGGACTGTGGCAGGAAGAAGTAATGCTAGAGAGTAGATGCGCTTTTAATCTCGTTTAATGGCATTTAGCGCGTTGATACTTCTGCTTGTACCTATGGGACCTGCTCATGGACCAAAGCTTCGAGCGCTGATAGTCAAGAACATCTGTGGGAGCAGAGTTCAGCAGCGAGCAGCGACACCAGCATGTGGGAAGACCAGCAGGGAATTGGGGTTCATCACTGCTGCGAGTTCAGAGTTTAAATTAATCCAAATGTGGGGGCCGGGGAATCAGACTCAAATGCCTACAAGCCTCCTCCTCCTCTCTCTTGGCAGATGGCAATCCTGCTAACAGCACTTGTGTGAGGTCCCCTTGCAGAACAAGCAGAGCGGAGCTGGAGAGGTTTTGCTGGTTATTATGTGCTGGATCCCAATGAGGTTGCCCCAAATGCTCAATCATTATCGCAGCCTCGCATGAAGTTAAGACAGCCTTCAAAATTATGCAGGAAGCGGGAAGAAAAAAATGCTTCATGAGCTGCCTGGCTTCTAGACTGTCCACTGGATCTCTTTTCTTTGGTTCATCCTGGTGTAATGTTTCCTGGTTGTTTTTTGAAATAGTTTCCTTGTCCTGTTCCCCTTTTACCTTGAAAACTGGTGCTGCTCCAGAGAAGGCTGCAACCAAAACAGGGCACCTTGGATTCCCTCAATCTTTCTGTTGCTCATTGGTTGCAAACTCCACTGCTTGTTTACCTCGAGCACTCTCTTCATTTTTAATGATGCCCCTAAAATTTTTTATTTAAAAAAACCATAAAAAAACATAAAATATGTCATACACTTTCCATTACTCCTAAGTAGAGCTTATTTCCCCTGTCCAAAGGCACTCTGCAGATCAATAAAATACCTCCTTTACTTAGACCTTCTGGCATTTCACACTGACTGATTATATCCCTCTCAACTGAAGAAAAATTGTGAAGCAGTAAACTCACATAAAACCAAAAATACAAGCAGATCCAAAATACTTTTCCTGCTAAGCTAGTCCTGCTAGAGGTAACCTTTTCCCTCTGAAACGGCACAGTCGTTTTTACCTGTGGCACTGAATTACAACACTACTAAATCAGGATTGCATGGCATCCCCCTCCATGGTTTTAGAAGATCACCTCAGGAGCAACACAAGGGAGAAGCTGACCCAGACGTTCTAGGTACCTTAGCTGCTCTAACAGGACACGAATCCAACAGAGGAGCCCCAGCTCATGAAAAGCCAGAGTTCTCATCCGACATGGTTGTGAACGCAAGTCTCCGGAGGACTCGAACAGCATGAGGACAGCAACATGTGCAGGCTCTGGCTATTGCTAGGGAGCACATCATGTGCTGTAGCAAGACGTGAAGGCTGATGTTCCTCAGCATCCTCAGCTATCTCCTGCAGCCATTAGCAAGCTGGGTCCCGCTTGTGGAGCCTGAGGAGACGGGAGTCAACGGCAATATTTATGAAAGCACACACACATCCCTGGAACGTGATCTGCTCTTAGAAAGCTCTCAGTAGTCCACCTCCTATAGTCCACCTCCTAGGAACTGGACACTTGATGCCGCAGGAAGGTGAGCACCAGCAGGAAGCACATCTGCAGAGAGATACCTACAAACAATTCTAGAAAAAATTAATTAAGCAAAATTAAAATGTGTGACTTACTTATGCATAAGGGGTCAGAGTTGTTTTACAAACCTCTGAAGGCGTCTGACCTCCCCCCCGCCAAACATTTCATTGCTTCCAAGTGGACCGATAATGGAATGTTTGCTTTTCATGTAGACCTATGATTTTAGTAGTGTGTGCAGAAGTGATGCACACATCTGAAGGACCTGAGGGAATGTGTAAGTTGTGCTGTAAAACCTCACCTTCTGCTTTATTCGCAGGTATACTAATGAGGTTTTTTTTTTTTCACTCTGTTTTCCTTGCTCTTTTTTTTAATATAAAAGCTTTGAGAATGTAATTAAATAGTCCCATCCCTTCTCCCTCCCCGCTCCCTATCAAAAGGATGCTGAATAGACAACCCTTACAATGTGCATTTCAAAAATGGGGGAACAGAGACATGGGTACATAAAGCAATCATCTTCACCAAAACACACAGAAACACACTGTGGCAAAGCCAGCAATAAAAACGCAGTTTGAAAAAACCCTTCATACCTACGCTATCTACATCGCAACCTGGATTCAGTCAATAATGTCGAACATTGCGTGGTACAAATGAAAATAACGCTTTTATTGATATGCTTAAACATAAAACATAGGTAACATCATAAAAACCAACCAAAAGATAAATCTGTTCCTTGATGTACCTAACAGACAGACATTTCATTTTTTTTTTTTCTCAGTAATTACCTGGAGGGGATTGTTGTCTTCCCACTGACCTGCGTGTCAAACAGCCTTTGCTTTACCGGTTTTTAACTGTGTTGATTTGTTCCCATGGAGTCTAAGGACTGTGATGAGCACCACGGTTGCGGCTGTTTTTCCTAAAGCCTGATCCCAAAAGGAGCACCATGTCCGTTCCACCCAAGCGCTGCACAAAGGGTTGTGGAACTTTTCAGCCTTCCAGACGAAGCCCTGACAGATCCCAGCAGAAGTGAGGGTATTAACCTGGTTCTACTGGAACAAAGAGTTACGGGTTCCTCTAGGACACGTTTTCTTTCAACGTCATCGAGGCTTGGAAAAGCCACAAAGCTACCAAGAAAAAGTAAGATGAGAACTCAAAAGATTTCTAATAAAGATAAATCTAATACAAGTTTATTCTATAAATATTTTTTCTTGTCAAAAGACAGAACACTTATAGAAACATACAAGAAGTATTCCTTGGAAAAAACCTGAAGCTACAGAAAATTACAAAGCATCAGCTGCTTTAATTTAACTTGAACCTTGCAGAATTGCGCTGTGCTCAGTCCTGTCTGTAAACCCACCACGGTTCCCTCAGTGCAATCACTCTAATTCTCACTTGCTTTGTAAACACTTTTGTTAATCACTCTTGTCTTCTCCTTGGTAGTGTCTGTATTCTGGCTTCAGCTCCCATGTGTTTTTGTGGGTCCCCTTCACGTTGTAGATGCCTATTTCTCTTAAAATTTCTTTCAAGTATATCTGAAAGGAAACAAAAATTCAAATTATTCAGACAGGCAATGACCACGGTTCCTGCAGGACACCTCACGATCTGCTCAATCACATCAACTCGGTTCATAAAAACGAGGCGGCGGACAGCAAGGTTGGCTGATAGGCACTGAACTTGTGCGATAACGACTCTGCGATAGACTTCACCCCCCAGGCACCAAGAGGGATTAGAGCAGCCAGGGTGTAATGCCCGGCGCAAGCCCCAGGGATGCAGCACGGAGCACGGCAGCCCCAGGCGTGACGGCTCCCGGGCAGCCCCTGCGCAGCCCTGCTGGGGTGTGGAGAGGCAGGTACCAGCTAAACAGATGCTCCATGGGCTGCCGAAATGAGGCTCCCAGCACCTCTGGGAAGGTGATGCTGAGGTTACCGCAGACCTACAGCAGTAGCACCCACCCAGGGATGAGCTAGCGGAGATGCTCCACAGCTCCTGCCTCAAGTCGGAGCTTGCAAAAGCAAAAGTCTGAGATATGCCCGAGGTACCCTGAGTATCAGATGCACAGCTGGTCTAAAAATCTGTATGCGGTTAGGTTTCTTACATGACTGTGGAGGAGCGGGGACACGGGCCGGCTTTCTGCCACAGACAGCGAGCTGAGCCATGTGGGTGGCCACTGCACAGGAGGGGCTCCCCAGGGCGGTGGGACACAGCCAGTGTGCGGGTCTGTACGTCGCCGTTACCTCACACATCTTCCTCCTGATGGAATTTCTCCACCTGAGCTAAAAGCTCTTGGCTTTTCCTCTTGCTTGGGCTGGGGTTATCGTGAAACTCCCTGCCTTATTCAGACCACATCAAAGCGCCGTGCTGTTGGTTTTCAGGCCATTTTGCAAAGCTTTAAGCATTTTATTATGGCCTTGTTTTCAGAGGAGAGCTGAGTAGGTGCCAGAGGATTTTCTAATACATTCAAATATTAAGGCTAGGAAGAGAAATAAAAAAAAAAAAAAACCAAGCAAAGCTCTGATACCAGTAGCATAACCTTTGACACAAGACAGCTCACTAATATCACCTTCCTCTACTCTTTATAATAAACACCAGTAATTTGTTTCATTTTTTAAAGAGCCGTTTGCCTGCTTGTTTGTTTAAATATTAATCGGGACTGACTCGACTGGATTGCCATGGCAACCACAGACCACAGTTTAAGAATCCCCACATTAAATTAATAATTGCTTTAGTTTGAGCAATTTAATCCTCTTTGAGTGCATGTATTGAACTGGAGTTACTGGAACCCTTGTATTTTCTGTATCTACAGTTCCACTAAGCACAAATATCAATATACTTCAACTCATAAAAAAAAAGCAAGTATTTGTTGAATACATAGGAAAAACAGAAAGTCCGATCGCCTGGTCTCTTCCTTACACTCTTCCTATTTTTTGTTACATGGAAAAGTTGGGAAATAAATAAGTATGTTCTTAGTCAGTAAAAAAAGTCTCTTTTAGAGAAACTGATCATTACTCTCTCCAGGTACACATCAAAAATTTACAAAGCAAAAAAAATCCAGATCCCACGCTAATGACAATACTTCTTTTGGACTCCTGTAGGAAAACTATTCTTAAAAACCTATTTCAAAGCAACGAGGGGGGGGTGTTCAACAACTAAGAAAGATGACCGTAATGGACTGCGTATACAAGAGTTTCTCTAGGGTCTTTTCTTCGAGCGGAGAGGCTGCGCGCCGGAGGGGTGAGCAGTGAGTTCATTTTGCACTGCAGGGATGGCTCTTCAGCCTCCGAGGGTGCACGATGCAAACCCCGGCAGGTGGCAGCAGGAGATCAATATACATCTCTCAGCACACCTTTCCACATCTCATCTATTGCAGAGATGCTGTCATTGTTTGAGAGCCAGGTACCTTAAGACAAACGTACTCACTACGACAGCGATTAGCGCGCGAACTTTTTTCAACGACGACACTGCTGTTGCGCACTGCGTTTTTTTAAAAGGTGATGAAAGCAGGTGAAAAAGCGATTTCTACATGGGTATGTGTAGATGTGTATACCTGCCTATCCACCACTTTGTTGGCAACCCTTGTGCATGCACATGAGGTAGCTTTCAGCAGCGTCGCTGACAGACACTTCAAAAGATGGCAGAGCGGGTGGAAGAAACGCTCGGATTCAAGGTTAAATTCTGCTCTAGACCACATGGACAGATTAATGAGAATTGGAAAAAAAAAAAAATTGCACTCAGTCTCATGAAGTACACCCTGGGGCTGAGAGACCTGGCCTGCATCCGGGAAGCCAGGTCACAAGGCGTGACGATGCCGCAGGGCTCAGGCAGAACGACACTGCTACAGCTGCACGGTCCACGGCTCCCGGCGGCTCGCTGCTGTTTGGTGGCAGAATCTTTGGGTGACATTCTGCACCAGGCAGTTCTCACCTCTCACTGCTTGCTCACGCCTCCAAGCCACCCACCCAGCTAAATGAAGGTTACTTTTAATTTCAGCTAGTTTCCAGACCCAATTCCCCAGGCAGTTCTGCTGCTCTCTGGGCAAAACATCCGCAAGTTTTTGATTTCACAGCATAACAAAACGGAACAAAACCAACTCAAACTGAATAGCGAGGTAACATCTGTGCCACAAGCAAGGGCACTTCAAGCTGTGACCGTGAACTGCAGCAACTGAGGATTTGCAACATATTCCTACCTGCCATCTCCGCTACAGGGGGAAACAAGAAGCAGTGGTTTCAGGGAGGGCAGCTGAGAGCGTTAACCCAAAAAAATCACTCTGCGTGCACAGACAACACGGAACTGTTGGAGCTTTTGCACCATTACGAATCAGGGATAATGCTGCTGTACTGTACTGGACTTGAGAGCAAGTGGCTCGATGAGCTGAGTTCAGGAGTCGTTACGATTTTTCCTGCAGGATCACCTCTCCTTCCAGAAACCAGGACCCTCCACCTGGGTCTATGCTGTGCCAGGTTGGCCTATACATCTTGAGGTTCAACAAGACCCAAGTGCTGGGTCCTGCACTTGGGTCACAACAACCCCATGCAGCGCTACAGGCTTGGGGAAGAGTGGCTGGAAAGCTGCCTGGTGGAAAAAGACCTGGGGGTACTGGTTGACAGCCGGCTGAGTATGAGCCAGCAGTGTGCCCACGTGGCCAAGAAAGCCAACAGCATCCTGGCTTGTATCAGGAATAGTGTGGCCAGCAGGACCAGGGAAGTGATCATGCCCCTGTACTCGGTGCTGGTGAGGCCGCACCTTGAATACTGTGTTCAGTGGTTGTTCAGCCTGGAGAAGAGGAGGCTGAGGGGAGACCTTATCACCCTCTACAACTGCCTGACAGGGGGCTGTAGCGAGGTGGGGGTCGGCCTCAAGTTGTGCCAGAGAAGGTTTAGATTGGACATTAGGAAAAATTTCTTCCCCGAAAGGGTTGTCAAGCATTGGAACAGGCTGCCCAGGGAAGTGGTCGAGCCCCCATCCCTGTGGGTATTTAAAAGATGTGTAGATGTGGTGCTTAGGGACATGTTTTAGTGGTGGGATGGCAGTGTTAGGTTAACGGTTGGACTTGATGATCTTAAAGGTCTTTTCCAACCTAAACGATTCTATGATTCTATGATCTTCAAGCATACTACTCAGTCTGATCCTATATAATCAAGAGAAACTCCCCACTTCCTCCAGTGATGCCAAACACTGAATTTTAGAGCCTGGTGAGCGCTAATCAGGGGCCCAGAATTTCGTCTCAGAAAGGGATTCAATATGTTTATGTACATATAATTCTAACACAGAAGCTAACCTGTAGGTATTCTGTTTGCACATTTAAGGCAATCCCTGCTCTGTTACACCTTCCCTTGTGATTTTTCCATAAAAAGTGAAATGCTATTATAGAATTATGGGATAAAAACTTCTGAGAGAGCAGTTAACTTCCAAGCTCTGAAAACCCTTCTGAAACTTTGAGGGGAAAAAACCCCCCACCGTATTTAAGATAACTATTACTTAAAGCTGAAATAAAAGAAAAAAGCTGCAAACAATCTACCCCATTTTGAAAAAACACAGTTCTTATTAGACCACTGGTTCCATACTGGTTCCATTCTTCACAAATATTTGATTGCTCATACAAAAAGCATATTATATTCTCAGCCATGAAGTCCAAATCTAGAATTACTGCAGTATTTCCAGGGAGCACTTGGTAGTTACGCCTGGGTAGGTGGCAACAGATTTGCCTACCACTGCAAATTGTTATTTTTCATTAAAAAGGAAAACAAATAAATCCAGTAGTTTGCGTTCAGAATAGACTTGCTTCATGATTTCATGATCACAAAATAAAGATGGTAGCAAGTGCCTGCGTAACATGCAACATATTCTGTAGCCAAGGGTTTAATCTACTATTTACATTTACTATTATGTAAGAAAAATAAAATTATTTGTTACTTCACTAACAAAGATGTTAATTCCCTTAGACAAATGTGTTTTAAATATTATCAGCCAGCGATGTAAGCGCCTAGAACTTCATTTTAATGGGAGCTAAGGAGACAGCAGCAGCAGCAGCACTTTTTTCCTCGTGTCTGAAAATAACCTCAACATTTAGAAACTCAGAGGAGAAATTACATACCCAGACAATCTTAGACACTATGACAGAAAATAAAGCAGTGAACACTCAGCAGAGATTAATTTGCAGCCAACCTCTGTACAGCACGGGGAAAGCATGCCTATTCACCTGTTGGCATTTTACCTTTTTTTTTTTTGGTCAGGTATAGCTGCTCTGCAAACAATAAAGTCACAGTGGGCATTAGGAACAGATACTTTATTTTCAGAAGAAAACCAAAAGTTGCACACCAGAGGCTGAATTCCGCAGCACCAGGGATGCTCACACACGGAACGAACACTGGCTGAGCAGCAGGAAACAAGGGATAGTATCTTTAAATGGAA